GTTTATACCACCAGGATTCCTTGTAGGTTGGCCATGCCTCACTTCTCCCTTCCCGGGCCCTCCAGGGCCAGCTGCGAGGTTGGTCTTTTGGTCTTCCAACTTCAGAGCTGCAGTTGGCGCAGAAAGACCCCTGCTGGCTGCAAGGGCAGTGTGGGGCCACTCCGAAGCCAAAGTCCCAGTTCCAGCTGGGCAGCGGGCCAGCTCTGACCACAGATGGCCGGCTTGGCTGAACAGGGTGTGGTGGCCAGAGGACTGCTCCCTGGGCAGTAATAAAACGAATGCATTCAAGCACGCTGGTTAGAACAAAAGCCGTCCCCAGCGCCACAAAACCGCTTGCATGCCCAGCCCCTGCTCAAAGAACAGGACCTTTGCACGCTGGCAGAAGGCGAGCGGAGAGGGAGCGAACCTTGCATCCCTCGGCAGGGAGGGTCCACGAAGAAGACCCTCCTTCGCCCCCCCAGATGCGCCTCCACGGTGGCTGCACTGAAGGAAGGGGCTTTCTCAGAGATCGTAAATGCGGGGCACCAGCTGCGGGAAACCTATCTGGACCGACTGCTGACCAGCTGGACTGGCGGAGCTTAAGCACAACAGAGGAGCTGAGCGTGGCCTTCTGGGAAACGGCCGCAGCGGATTGGTCTCAGGCCTCTGCCAGGGGCCGTTGCCGAGCACTAAGAACACGTGCCTTAAGGCGGAAGTTCTCGGGTTCAGATCTGGAGTCTCCTGGTAGGGCTGGAAAGCACCCTGCTGGGAGCCAGAGAGCTGCCACTCCTCGAGAGGGGGAGAGGCTGTCGAAGCAGGTAAAACCTGGGGCACAGAATGGAAAAGGGCTTTGCCAGAAGCCACTGCACTTCCCAATTCTTGCTGCTTCAGCTCTGACTCGGTGGGGAAATGTGGCTTCCCCAGCAGAGTCGTTTTTCCCAAATCTACTCTCATATCTTGGTCTGGAATGTGTATTCCAAAATGGGTTTCAGAGTCTGAAGCTCGACTTCCATGCTGGACTGTATACAGGGGGGTTTCTTCCCCCACTGCCACCCTTGATCACTTTGTTCCCTTTATGCTTCTCTCCACAACTGAATCAATCACATAGAAATGTCCCAGAAATGCGATGACAAACATGAACATATCTTTCCAGTTTTGCCTCTGGCTTTTCATCTCTGAGTCATTCCCAAGGAGTGAAAGTGATGGATTGGGGTCTCTTGCTTACATCTTGCAGGGGAATGCTGGGTAAACATTGAACTCAGAGCAGAACCAAGTGAAATGAGCCCCAAATCCCCAGAGAAAAGAGCAGGCTGGAATGTGAATAGATTCATCTCCTTTATCTGCAGTGTCAGACAGACGGGGCCGTATCTGTTCGTTCCTTTACTAGCAAATGGACCCAGCTTCTCGTGGGCCCTTCGTTCAATAGAGTTCAGCCTTCCAGCAAAGTCGTACGGCAGTCAGGGTTGGACACCCCATGCCTGTTCCATCTGAGCAAAGGGCACAACTGTTAACACTGGAAATACAGCCCCGCAACACTTAAGACCCTTCAGTGAGTGGTCTGTCCTCTTTCTTCCCTCTAGAGATAGCCACCCCAGAGCAGGGGATACATATGGGGCAGCCATACGAGGCCATCCCCACCACCAGCTTCAAACTGTATCAGCCGCAAAGCTGCGAGCTAGTTTGTGCCGCCTGACACCTAGTGACTGAAGATGGTACTGCAAGCCTCAAAGCACAGACTCTTTTAAATTAATTGCAATCAATATGTTTTGAAACAAAAATGACGCCGAGGTGCACATCCCTAGGGTCCCCTTAATATGAACGCCAAGTCTCAGGAGCCTAGCTTTTGTGAGTGAGGTGCTATCGGGCCGACAGACAGACCGTTCCTTCAGGATTCTCTATCTGTTTAGCATAGGCTTGGTAAGAGAACACCCTTAAGTGAACAGAGTTAAGGTGTTCAGACTTGGAGTGTTCCCTCACGAGGAAATTATATGAGAGAACCAACTGTGCTCTGCTAAGGTTTTCAGGAATAAAGTCAAGGTGGCTTTGAATCAGCATAAAGGTGAGTCTGGAATGTGGGTCCCTTGTCTGCCGTGGCATCGTGCCTTGTGGTCTCTCCCGCACTAATGGTGAAGGATAAAGCAGTACCCAAAGCACCCACCCTAGCAAAGCTCTGAGGCACCATGGGCTCTTCAAATGGCACCAGCCTATCAGGACTGGAGCATTTTGACTTCCCACAATGCCTTGAAGTAATGCTTTCTGGGACATTCTTAATGGTGTCTCCCCAGACTCCAGCTTGTGCTGAAGAGCTCATAGCATGTCTCAGAACATGGTCCATGCTACCTAGGGATGATGGGTGTTGCAGTCCAACGGAGAATGCCTCTTCAGTGGGAGAGGAGAATTAACTCAATGCCGGATTGCTCTTTCTGGTAGCTTTAGCCATTAAGTTTAATTCTATGTATATATAAAGTCAGAAATCTGCAATATTCCTGCTGAATTCATATGCAACATGGATGCAGTCAGGCCTAAGTTAATGCATCGAAGTAAAATAAAGAGACAACTGAAAGCTTCTGCTACTGACTGTAATGTTAAATGCATACCAAGAGTAGCAGTTCCCCACCACTCATTGGTAGAGAAATGTATGCTATTTACATAAAAGATTAGTCAAAGCAGCACATAAACAACCTAGGTTTGAACATCTGTAAATCAGCTTGTGGCTTTATTTGCATTTATGTCAAGAAACCACATATTTTAGTAGACTAACAGGAGTTATTTCATTAGCCAGTCAGTATCAGGCACTTCGGTTGATGTGATTTATTTAACCGGACGTAAAAAAAGATGGATGCCTTGTGCAAGATGTAGGAAAAATTACAACAGACCCAAGAACAAGGTTCTATGAACACAAATCTGTGATTCATACCAAAAAGGAAAAAACCTGCAACCTCCCATTGCAAGACATTTATTGCAGATAGTTATCTCAGATTTACAATCCCAGTTAAACCAACTAAGGACACAAAGTGTTTGACAGGAAAACTGGATCCATAGATGCAGAACTCCTAGTCCTTACAGTCTTAATCCAGAAGAAAATTCACAAACTTTCTACCACTCGCAGCTCTGTTTTCATCTTAGGAATGTCCCTTTCCCCTCTTGGTAACCGCTTAACACCACAGCTGCTGATGAAAGAAGCTGCTGAAATATTTAGCATCAAATATATTTTCCACATCTTTTCTTTTTTAAAGATATTTGTGGCATGCGAGGACCAATGTTTAAGCACTGACTGTAGTTCTTCATGATGGAAGAAATTATCTTTGTGTGCCTACAAAGTATTTCCATTATTCTTCACATTGTTTCAGAACTCAGCTTCTGGGGTACCTATTAAGCTCCGGATAAAAGAGACAGACAAAGGCAGAAAAGTGAGAGAGAGAACACACATCAGATTTGAACCAGCCTTAAGAGAAATGTGAACTCCTGAGTGTAGGTGGAAAGACCACAAGCTTTTTGTGAATGGAGGGTACAAAAGTCAAGGAGAGAGAGAAGGAGACTGAAAGCTTAATGAAAGGGGATGAGGCATCAGGGAGCGAGGGGAAACCCACAGAAACTGCATTTAACTGTGTTTCCTATTGAGCGCTGAACCCACGCAGTGTTCCAGGGATTTAGGGAGACAAAACACCCTCGGAGCGAGCCCTTGGCAACCCTGTTGTCAAAATGTGGGTAGCTCCTAACCATGACAAGGTTTCCAGATATTTGGCAAAGATGTGGAAAGAAAAAATTGGCCAAGTGTGTCCAAAAGCTCCAGTCAAGCTCACCACAAACATCATTTGGTGAAAAAATGTGATTAAAAAGTAAAACAATCAGAACAGGTGGTCACCAATGGTGTCCGGCATTCTCGTTAACATATCAAGCAAGGTAGAAATCCCGGGGAAGCTCACAGGAAAAAGGCTTGGAGGAGGTGGCCTCCAAGGACTCCACAGTCTGGAATTGGCAGTGGACGATGGAACTGGCAGCTGAGCAGGGCTGTCATGGAGACCCGTTCTGGAGTTGCTTACTCTCATGGGGCCATTGTAAGTCAGAGATGACATGCCGGCCCTGAACAGCAGCATAAACGCCTTCCGAGCAAGAAGTGTTCTGCGACCAAGGAGGTGCATTGCCAAGGAGCACTCAAAACTCTGCGGTTTATTTTATTTCTTCTTGTATTATTGTGCTTATATCCCACAATAAGAATGCCAACAAAGTGGAAAATAAAAAAGGACCATACGCAATGGCCACCCCTTCCAAATGCTGGCACAGTTGTGGTCGCCTCTCTGGCAGATTCCCGTTCAGCATTAGGGAGAAAAGGTCATGTGTATTTAATGTTTTTCTTCTAAACGGGGATCCGGATTGGTGCAGGATGCCCAACAGGGCATTTATTATATTTATACCCTACCATTTCTAATCCTTTTTCCTGCAAGAAACCCAAAACACCCATAATCTTCCTCTTCCTCTCCTTTTTGTCCTCACAACGACCCTGTGAGGCAGGCTAGGCTGAGTGTCAGTGACTGGACCAGAGTCTCCCAGTGGACTTTATAGCCAAACAGGGATGAGAACCAGAAATCCCAAGTCACAATCCAGCACTCTAACCACACAGACTTTTTCTCTTTTACACTGCACACGTAGCGATCCGAGATGCTTGGATTTCCTTAATAAATAGTAAAAGAGGCATGTGATCTCCAGGAAAGAGTTTTTCTTTACATTAGAGAAGCACAACCAGCAACCAATTGGGCTCAGGGCAAGCAGACAAACCCCCGTCCCCTTCACACATTCGGTAAATACATGGGGGTCCTATCAGCATCCCTCTTCTTGTTTCTGGTAAATAATGCAAGAAAATGGTAAAAATGCATCTGTTTCTTCCATTTTTAATGGTGCTTGAACTGGATGGGGAAAGAACCGTATGTGCTGAGGAATTCGAACTCCTTTCATTCGTAATGCGAATTCTTCCCAAAGTTCTGTCTCCAGCGACTGAGTCTTCCGGCTTTATTTCCATCTAGGAAATGTCAGCAGGAACTGCACCCACAACGGCTGGTCGGAGATGTACCCTGCTCCGTACAGCGTGGTTTGCGGCTACAATGCTAACAGCTCGTCCTCAGCAGAGGAGGTCAGTAAAATCCTCGCAAGGCCGGATTTCGGAGGTCCACAACAAACCGATCGTGCGGCTTTGGGAAGGCTCTGGCTTTGGTTGCATTTGGCTTTCCAGTAGCAGCCGCGATCTGGATGAGGGTTTCTTGCATCCATAACTGTCTGGCTTCTTCTGTTGAAGCTGCTTTGGGTCGTGTGGCTTGGAAGTGCATCTGTATTTCCATTCGGCCCGTAAATGAAATGTGAAGCATAGCCTTCTCTCCCAAGCCCTGCCACACCAGACGCACTGGGACAATTTCTCCCTGCGTTATTCCTTATGGATCTGATCCAAATTTAATTATACTTCAGGGAGACCCACTGAAATCCACAGGACTTTGATGATGCTCGGCGACCAGCTTAGGTCCCATTGATTACAGTGGTTCTGTGTTATGCATTACCACACCTGGATCCATCCCTCTGTCTAGGAAGACAATTTGGATGGAGGCTGTCAAGATGCCCATGCATCAAGTGGCCCCTGAAGGGCAAACCATCATGAGAGCAGAGGCCTTTGTGGGCTGTAGCTCACCGACTTGGGTGCGCGGAGTCCCCGTCCGGGAAGGTGTGTGCCTTTTGAAATGTGTTTGTGCAGAAGGTGCCACTGGGTTTGCTGCTGTGGACCCACCTTCCCAACCAGGTGCCCCTCAGGTGGGCTGGGCTGCCTCCATGAGCTTGTTATGGTCTTCATGAACTGCTCCTTGGTTTCTTCCAATCCAGATGCCAAGAGACAGACACAGCTGCCGTGGTTCTGGATAAAATTGGAGCTTTTCTACTGGCAAGGGGTACCGAACCTCAGGTCCTGGGTCAAAAACAGCCCACCTGGGGGCCTGATCCAGTCCAGAATTCCCCAGCTGCCCATGCCCCCGTCCCCAGGAACTAGCCCTTCCCCCGGCTTTTAGCTCGCCAGCATTCAATGCCAAAGCTAGAGTTTGTCCTTTCTCATCGGCTTGCCAAAGTCACACTGACATTCAGCTGCTCAACATTTACTCAAGCGCTGGCCGGACTGCAGTGGTGGAGTAGCCAATGTGTCCACGCTCCTCTCCACAAAACCTCATGCAAACCAAGCTTGATCTGGCCTGCGGAAACAATTTGGCCCCAGGATTCCGCGAGCGCTCCATTCCGAGCTAGGAAGTCGTACAACAAGGCAGCTTGCAGGACAAGGGTTGGAGCATCCCCTCTCCCGTTGCCGCCTGATACTCTGAACTTGCGTCTGGCGCCTCCGCCATGCAAAGCCTCTGCTCCCTTGCCAGTTCTTTCCTCCCTGTGCCAGGTGGAAGGGGGTCTGTTTTACTTCTGTTCAGCAGTCCACTCTTGCTCTGGCTGAAGCCTTGTTGGTCCAAATGGGCATCTCGGAAGTGTGGAGTTAAAAAAAGCGAATGCACGAATTAAGAAGCCATCGTGTGTGTTCCACTGAGATCAGGCATCCATCCAAGGCCCTGCTCCACTGTGTACAGAAAGCCACACAGCAGGAGTTTCCCTAATCCCTTTGTGGCTGCAGTACAAGTCCTGTGCCCTCCTGGGTGGCCAAGAGCCTTCAGCATTCCTGACAGCAAGCAGCCAGTTGAAAGCTTGAGGGACTTTAAGCTTCGGCCTGGAATTTTGGGCATGGGGAGAAATAAGCACAGCTCAAAGGGTACCTCTCGCTCGCTGTACCTCCAGTGATGCTCCATGTGTGAATTTCCCATTAACCTTGAGTAGAACTGCTTTAAAGCAACGTTCCTTCTGATTCCGTAGGATGCTGCAGTGTGGGAAGTCTGTAACGGTGCCCCGTGTGACCCAGCTATTTCTAAGCAGTTTTAACGGATTGATTGCAGTGCGGGGTGGGAGTGGGAGTGGGGGTGGAAAGGCAGGTCTGAGAACATCAGCCGTGGTTCCGCAGTAGGACAGTGACTCCGCCTGGGGAACGTCCCAGGTTTGATCTCTGATGTGTCTCCATTTGAGAAAAGCAAAAGGATCGGATGATCCTGGGCCAAACGGAAGGACAGACAGGATGGGATGGACCAGATGGAAGGTGCCATGCTGGGGTTCTGTGTGCCAGCTTCTTCCATGGATGCAAGTGCCTGCATTTGAACAGCACGATGGACCATATTCAAGGGTGGAGTATAGCTTGAATGTGGGTTGTCCTTAAAACATGGGTTTTCTGTTGTCTGAACCCAGCTAACAAACCAGGGTGAACAACCCAGTTTACAACCCAACAACAACTATGGGTTCTCTTCTCTTCATGGTTCAAACATCATGGGCTTTTTAGTCCAGCAAGGTTCAGATGATACAACAACCCATGTTTGAACAACAACGCACAGTTCAACAACCTATGCTCAACCCGTATTTAACCCTAAGTGTGAGTTCTGGTGTAACCCGAATACAGTCCCTGTCACTCAAATGGGGATAATGGAGGTACGTAGCTTACAGATTCTGAGATCAAGAAAAGAAAAGCTATAATCAAGAATGACACCTTTCTATAATTTCGGAGCCAGTGAGCTGGTGGCATCCAGAGGAGTTGCAGCAGATGCGCATGGGCAGAAATAATCAACCGCTGCGAAAGGAGGCAGAGGTGATCGGGATTGCCCCTTGAGCTACAAATGCAACCATAAAACCAATTCATGTTTGAGATCCCCAGAGCATCACCTCACTAAATGCCTGCTTTAGCGTTGTCCTCTGGGCCTCTTTGGACACTGGTAAGGATGCCTCCCAGTCTAAGGTGCTCTAAGGTGTCCTGATTTCTCCCTGCTTGGGCTCTGAGAGAGCTCTCCAACCCTCAAAAGCAGCAGCCTTCTTCAGGCCGTTGGCAGAGATGATGCCTAGGACTAGCCCTGCCGTCAGGCAGAGTGGAAAGCTCTCCTCAAGCCGCAGAGGCTAAGAGGAGGCAGTACAGCACTGGAGGAGAGAAGCCCCCGTCCAAGCTCTGCTCTGCATTCAAGCGCAGCTGCGTTCGAGTCCCATCGTCCGCGTCAAAGCAAGATGCAGCCCCCAGTCCAAAGGGCTTTTGTTGGGCGCCATTTTGTGCTTTGCCTCAGGGAGCAGTTTGTTCCTGGGATGGCCCTGGAGACCCCCCCGCTTTGGTGGACTTGCAGGAATATCTGCAGTGGGCGCCTTGCAGCAGAGAGGATTGTGTTTCTTTGCCAAATTGGAGGGGGAGGGGTGTGCTATAAGATTGGGGGATGATGGGTAGTGGCAGGGGGAGTGAACAACATTGGATGTCTTTTAATGTGTTGAGGGCATCTTGGCCAAAGGGGAGAGAAACCTGTCTGTCGAACCGGCAAGCAGCATGTTATTCATCTCTGTTTTCTGTGCTGTCAGACTGCGTTCTACGGCATGGTGAGGACCGGGTACACCATCGGGCACAGCCTGTCGCTTGTTGCCCTGACGGCGGCCATGATCATCCTGTGCTTTTTCAGGTAATGGGCAAACTGTGGAGAGGGGAGGGAACTTGGGGGAGGGGGAGGGCATTGGTTTCTTCCTTGGCTCTCAGTATTGCCCCCCCCCACGGTATGGTGAACCAGTGGGGTGCTTTGCTGGACAGAATGGCAGAGCTGGACAAGGGTTCCAATGCCCACTCAGAAATAATGTTGAAGGGGTGATGTTTGTGAAATCATTGCAACCCATCTTATTGAGAGTTTTAAAAGAGAATGTGGTTTTTAGAGTGTTGGACTGGAATTCAGGGGACCAAGACTCTAGTCCTCATGAGGCGTTGAGCCAGTCACTAACACTCAGCCTTACCTGCCTCACAGGATTGTTGTTGTGAGGATAAAATGGAAAGGAGGAGGGTTGGGTAAGGTGCCCTGGCTTCCTGGAAGGCAGGCAGGCAGGCAGGCAGGCTGGCAGGGTGAATATAGATCACACAGCAGCAAAACCCTCCCACTTCACAGGTTATGCATGACTCCCACTTGCATAAAGAGCACAAGTCAGCTTGCAGGCCACATTTAGCAGAGGGACATGTGGGGGTGGGCACATAAAGGGCCAGGCCACTTAAGAATGTCAGAGAAATCCACAATGGATTAAAAGGAGTTTGGATTTCTGTGACTTTTACTGGAACCTTCCAATCTTTTCCTAAGCATACAGATTCAGTAGAGTTGTGGACCGGTTTGACGTTTTTCAGAACTGTGTGCAAACTGTGTGCAGAACTTAGTCATTAAAAATACTGAAAAGATCAAAAAGTGTAAAAACCCAGCCCAAAAAGTGCATTTCCCCTCATTGGATAATGTATAGTGTACATTTGCGCAAGGACACATTTTTCAACCTGAATGCAAGCTCAGGATGTCCAGGGGACAATGGAATTGAAGACAATTGATAATCCATGAAAGTCAGACAGAAAGGATTTAAGACCCTGCACTGTAGGGATACACTGAAACAAGGAAATTCAGTTGATTTGTGCTCAACAGATTTCCTATCCATTTCCAATCCACTGATCAGAAAAAGGCCAGGTCATGTTTGGGAGTGGGTGGGGTACAGACTTCTAAGACAGAGTGTGATTTGTGCATTTTTATTTCCCACTAATAATATTCGTGCAAATAGGCATCCCCACTTGGTCTAACACGATTTGTGCAAAGTCAACTAATTTGTGTAAATCAAAATTTGTGCAGATTATGATTTGTGCAAATTACAATTTGCACAAATCAGCCTATTCCACACAAATTACGCTTTAGTCATTTAGTTCTGGGGTGCTTATTTGTGCAAATTTCATGCACAGTTTTTAAAAAGCTACAAATCATGATCCTTCTCAGCAACAGAAGTCTGCGAGCTTCATATGACAACAGGGTGCTCCCAGTGTGGGACTAGCCCAGTGAAATCCAGGAGGCAATGCATGAAAATCTGTCAGGTTTTTAGCCCCCGCTGGCGTTTCCACATGTCCCTCTCTGTTGCCAGTGCCTAATACATTATTTTATTTGCTTTTGCAAAGTTCTGCTGCTTTACAGCAATCTGCGGAGCCGTGTATGATTCAGCATATAAAAACAAGAATGCCTCTGTAAAAGAAGCAGAATTCTATACAGCAAAACAGTATAAATCTTCCCTGAGGCACCTCTGGGAAAGCTCAGGGAACCTTTGCCCAAAGCAGCAAGTTCGTTACTTACTAAAAAAATCATTTCAGTTTAATACCATCTTTACTGCTCTTCCTTCTCCTCAAAATCCTAGAAGCTGGAGGTGCGAGGAATCCCTCTGGCATTGGGAATCTATTGGATTCCCTGGACTCACCTCCCTGGACTCTGGTCCACTTTGCAGTGGCCCAGAGTCCAAGCAAGTACGCCTAGGATTCGTGGGGTGCTTTTCGGGAACGGGCTGCACCACCGCTGGTAGCACCGAGCAAGGGAGAAGGTTGGCCTCCAGGAAGGGCACCTGGTCCACACACCCAAAGCATCCCTCTCCCGTATCCCTGAGCCGCTCCTGAGGGGGAAGGGCTGCCAGGTGTGCATCTGGGTGCCCACAAGCATCGCCAGGCTTCCTTGTGGCTCAGAGCGCTTTGCAGGACCAGTCTGAGTAGAAGACGTCCACGGATGCTGCGGGGATGGATTCCAAAAGCGTTCTCCACAACCCAACTAGGACTGTAGCTTAGTCTAGTGCTTGGACTGTGTTGCTTATGCAGTTGCATTAATATCCCAGGGCACAGGGCCCTTTTCCTCACAATTGCCTATGAGGTGCGTTCGGCTGAGTGCCAGCGTCACACCCCACGTCACCCAGGAGCTCCCTGGCTGAGTGGGGACCAGAGCCCTCCCGAGGTCTGGTCCAAGGCTCGGCCCACTCGTTCCCTAGAAGCCCTGCTCCTTCCAGCAGGCTCCTCCCCTTCCCCGGAGCGAGGGAGCCAGCGAAGTCTTCCTCCTGGCTTGACATCCAAGGCACCGACGGTCCCAAGCCCTGGCCTTTTCCCCAAAACTAGAGGTGCCGTTTTCCCACAGGGAGAGAGGCTGCCTGTGTCAGCAGTGTAGCTGTGACCTGCTAGGGTTGGTATCCAGAATCTTGCCTGCCATGGCAGAAGAAGACCAGGATCAGGGACCTGGCTGGTCGGTCTGTCTCTGCCTCTCTCTGTCTGTCTCCATTTGGAACCCTTTCCAAAGGCCCCTTTCTCCTCTCTTCCCCCAGGAAGCTGCACTGCACCAGGAACCACATCCACATGCACCTCTTCATGTCCTTCATCATGCGCGCCATTGCCGTCTTCATCAAGGACATCATCCTCTTCGAGAGTGGCGAGTCGGACCACTGCTTCATCAGCTCGGTCAGTCATGGCTTCCGTCGTGAGCGTCCCGACGGGTTTCACCCCCTAGCCTCGTGCACACCACTTGCCTTCCTCGTAGCATAGCCCATCTCGCCTGGGCCCCGGGTGAACCTCCCTGGCAGGGGATGAAAGGTGTGAGCGAGACGCCCCACCTGGTTGGAGGAGGCCTCACCTGGGCGTGCGAGCTCCTGCTGGACCACCCCCTGCATCCTCCTCCTAGAGGATGCTTGAGGGATGGACACTCCGGTGCTTGGTGCTCCTGTTCGCCGGTCGACAAGTCCCGTTTAGGTCTCTGCTTGGTGCCAGGAAGGCATTCCTGTTCTTCGGGTTGGCAGTCTTGGTTGAGATGAGTCGCGCATTTTCAGCAGAGTTTGAGCTGAAGGGCTAACGGCTTTGTCACTGTCCAATGGCTCACTCCTAGCTCTTCGGACAGAGTGAATTTTTCATCTGCTCCCCCGCGGTTCAAAGGCTCCCGACGTCAGGATTCTTTGCTGCTTAAGCCCCTGCATGAACCAAGATACACACCAGTGAATCTGGTTCACACATGCAGTGGGTGGAGGCGGGAATCCTCCCTTTAAGGTAGGAAATAGATGATTGTGCCATTTCAGATCGGAGGCAGAAGTCGTGTTTTGGAGTGCTTCTCTGTGTGCCGACCCGGCGTCTGCAAGGTTTGGGAGCAAGGAGAGAGCTGGTATAATAATCCATGTGCTTGGATTCTAACCCACCCACAAGAGTTGAATGACGTGTCTCAGGCTTTGCTCGCCTTGAGACTAGATTACGCGAGCCCACTCGGGTGCCCCGGGCTTGGTCTGCAGCCTGTTGCAAAGCTCAAAATGCCGCACTGAGGCTGCTAACCAGGGTTTCTTTTTAACAGAAAATTATGCCCTTGCTTGTAAAGTGCTTTTTGAGATCCCTGATTGAGGAATTTTCCTCCCGGAGAGCTTTGCCTGGCATCTATATTGAGACAATTTGGGTGCTTTCGCTCTCTTGCTAAGACCACTTGGCCAAAAAGTCTGGGGCAAGTTTAAGCAGCCATTGTTAGTGTGTGAAGCCTTACACAACTTAGGATCAGGTTACGGAAAGTGAAGGAAGGGCCTGGAGGGTTGGCTCTCTTGACTTGATTTTCAACCGACGGAGATGACCTAGTGGATAAAGTGCAGGCAAATGAATTCCATGCCATACTTGAATTCTGGATTCTAAAGGAAGCAAAAGCCAAGTATAATAAACATGTACTCTGGATTTTTGAAAAGCCAGTTTCAACACACAGTACCCTCCTGTGTGGGATTGTCAAAGCGGTTTAATTGTGCCGTGTGTGCGCAACAGCTGGAATCTGTGAGGTCCCGTGGCCACAACAGAAAGAGTCTGAGCTGGGTGGGAATTCTCAAGACAGGAATTCTAAAGGCACAATTGCAAACAGCTCCAGTAAGGAAAAAGGCAGAAGGCGGCAGAAGTCGATGTGGCTTCGGAAGACACTTAGCGATGACCTCAAAAGGGAAAAGGACGTGTCTAGGAAGCAGACGGAAAGCCAGGTTACAAAGGAAGAGTACGGACAGGTAGCGCTTCACTGCAGGTAGGACAAGTGCGGCCCACAGGGCTGACATTTCAGCACCTGAGCTCTAACTAGCACTTTAAACTCAGCTCAGAACCTTGAGCAGCTGCATGGAGATGGGGCAGTGCCGGTTTCTTGCCTCTTCCTTTCCCACCTGGGACCTCCAGGGACCGTTCTCTTGCTTTGCCAGTTCTCCCAAGTCCAGGGTCAGTCGTGAGGGCCTCTGAAAAAATCCAGTTCTCAGCCTGGCCCACAGCCTCCTCAGGGGCTTTTGGCTGTCCCCTCTTCTTAAAATTCAGAGCTGTGTGTCGTTAAGGGCTGCCTTTGCGAAAGGACAGATCCCTCGCAATGTCTTTCCTGCTGGAGCTTTGCTTGAGGGATCGGACGCCTTTGCTAGTTAAGGAGTGCCAGCTGATTAGCCGGTTGACCTACTCACACTTGGCCACTGGTCCAATGTTTGTTTATTTATTTATTGTTATTTATTTATTTTTCGATTCATATCCTGCCTTTTCCCTACAAAGGGCTCAAGGCAGCTTACATCCTTCTCCTCCTCCATCTTATCCCCGCAACAACAACCCTGTGAGGTAGTCTGGGCTGAGAGTCTGTGACTGGCCCAGAGTCACCCAGTTGGCTCCATGGCTGAGTGGGGACTCAAACCCGGATCGCCTGAGTCCCAGTCCCACGCTCTTAACCACTGCACCACACTGGCTCTCAATGTTGCCAAGTGTTCGCATGGAGCCAAGAGCACCCCCAGGGGGTGGGGCCATCGACCAGTTTTCACTGAGCCCAGTGAGCACAGCAACTGGAAGCTGTAAACAATGCCTGGAAAGGCTAATGCAGGAAAGATGTTGGAGAGGAAGCGATGGGACTGAATTCTGAAAGGGCTGGCAAGGGACTTCTTGAAAAATTCTGTTGCTCTGGCCTTGGAAAACAGATCGAACGATAGTTCTTATCCTGGAGAGTTTGCACATCTCAACTTCAAACAGATTTAATGTTGAGCAAAAGCACAGCGTGTTGTCAGGCCTATCGGCAAGCTGTGAAAATGGAAAAGGGATGTCGGCGAAACTGGGGCTCTGGTGGCAAGGCAGAGATATGAAGCTTGCTCTGCAGCCCTTCTCCTGGTCCCTGCAATGGGCATCCTGCAGTCTCTTCCCGCATTCCAGCCCAGCCTGGGTCTGTTGGACTACAACACCCAGCATGCCCTAGCCAGGGGAACCTCTCTGTGTCAGTTCATCCTGCCCCAACGTTTGAACTAAAGCCCCCCAAAACGGACAGGTTGTTGCCCCCAATTCATTATCCACGTCCCCTTTCAAGGTGAAAGTTGTTTTGTACAACGAAGTACACACGTTGTGTTTGGCGCACTGCCAACACACCACTAGAGTATCCCCCTTTTGACATTTTCCGGGAAAATGTGGCTCCCAGAAGGCCCCTCTGGCAAAAGTAATGGGAAGAAATGCTATTAAAAAGAAAGATTACATTAATAAGGTTTGTACCGTCGTGTTCATTCTGATTCATCAATGAATTTTCTCCTCCTCCTTAAACTCTCCACTTCCAAATAAACTGAAAACTTGCAGAGGGAGGGAGTTTGCTCAAAGAAGGATGCGAATGGGAGGGTGACCTCTCAGAACCAGGAGGAGCAGCCACAGTTTCCGAAAAGCTGCACCTGTCTCCCCATCTGCTTTTGCCGGGGTTCTTCCTCCCGCCAGTGCATATCTGCATAATGATGGCGACTATTAATTATTATTAATTATTTTAATTTATGTGGTTTTAATTTATTGTTGTAAGTCGCCCCGAGGCTTCGGCGAATGGGGCGGCATAAAAATGTTTTAATAAATAAATAAATATTATTATCAATTTATATAACATTTACACGCCACCTTTCACAAGCCAAAGTGGCTTGCCTAGCTCCCTATTATCCTCACAACAACCTTGGGAGGTAGGTTGAACTGAGAATCTGCGGCTGGCCCAAAGCCACCCAGAGAGCACCACAGCCCAGTGGGGACTAGAACCTGGATCCCCCTGGCAATTTTTGTCCTACTATATTGGATTGATGATCAATTGATTTGATACCCTGGCCTCACTTTATTAGTTAAAAAGCCATCCAGTCAGCATGCAACAAATTAAAACAATAAATCTTTAACACATTTAACACAGTGAAAGCAAGGTCATTGTAAAGAGTAACATCTTAGAATAGCAGTGTTGGTTTCAAAGGCCAAATGGAAGATGCGTATCTTTGCTTCCTTTCTAAAGAGAGTGAGGACCCGCGGTATTTCTCGAGTAAAAGCGTTCCATCGTTTGGCTGCGACACAGGCAAAAACCTTTCCACAGGTGCTTAGCAAGCACCTGAGGACCGTGGAAATCAGCAGAACAGTCTGCTGATCAAATTCGCAGACGACACTAAAACTGGGGCAGTGGCCACAACTGAGGAGCAGGTACTCCAGATCCAAAAGGATCTGGACAGACTATGGAAGTGGGCAGGAGACAACAGGATGGAGTTCAATGTGGATAAGTGCAAGGTCTTGCACCTGGGGCACAGAAATGGGTGTCGTAAGTCCAGGTTAGGTGACAAGTGGCTGGAGAGCAGCACTTGTGAAAGGGACTTTGGGGTGCTGGTTGCCTGTAGGTGAAACGTGAGCCAGCCGTGTGATGCGGTGGCCAAGAGGGCGAATGCCACCCTTGGTTGCATAGCCAGAAGTGTGGCTTCTAGAGCGAGAGAGGTGATACTACCACTCTATATGACTCTGGTTCGACCGCAACTGGAGTATTGTGTTCAGTTTTGGGCCCCTCATTACAGGAAGGATATAGCCAGGTCAGAGTCAGTGCAGCGAAGGGCCACAAGGTTGGTGGCCGGTTTGCAGGGGATGCTGTATGAGGCAAGACTGAGGGAACTGGGTCTCTTCAGCTTGGAGAAGAGGAGACTCAGAGGGGATCTGTTGGCGACATACAGGTATGTGAGGGGATGTCACACGGAGGTGGGTAGAGACCTGTTCTCCCCTGCAGAGGAAGGCAGGACGCGCTCCAAGGGAGCAAAGCTCAGGGAGCCAAGGTTCCATTTGGATACCAGGAAGCACTTCCTGACAGTTAGGACCCACAGGGTGTGGAATGGGCTTCCACGAGAGGTCGTTGAGGCCCCATCAGTGTGGGTGTTCAAGGATACAAGGCTGGACATGCACATGGTGGGCATGTCATGAGCGGAGCCGGCTGGAGCCGAGGGTCAGACTAGATGGCCCGGGAGGTCCCTTCTGACTCGCTTTGTTTCTATGAAATCTAAACAACCCTGCAGGTTCATAACTAGAGAAGAGAAGGGCCCGATCCCCTGGATCATTTGGCAACGTTGCCACCTCATTTGCCCTGGCTGCAGCTTCCAGATGCTCTTTGGGGTGTCCCCAGGGAGAGCTGCCCAAGCTCCCAGCTTAACTGTCATGGCATCCCCTCAAGGAATCCTAGGAAT